GGTGAATCCCAGGGACCAGGCAGGTGTCTGAAGATGAGAGGCATTGAGAACAATCTAGGAACTCTTGCAGATTCTCTGCCAAAACCAGCAATCCTTACTTCAAATTATTTTAATCACTTGAAGTTCAGGTTTTTCCCTTTGATTTCAGTAGGGGTGTATCCCCTGAACAAGGACTGTATGATTGGTTTGCCAGATTTGATTTCCTCCAGTGCTAATTTCTCAATTTAATCAGCTTGATAGTCACCTAGCAGTTTTGGAGAGATTTGGAGGAAGGAATGCTCTCATCCTTTCGTTGTTGAATATAGTCACATGAAGAACCTAAATACAAACAGATGTCCGTTTTTAAAAAGTCAGCGTATTGCTGAAATTGAATATTTTTGTTAGCGTCACTGACAGAGATTTTATTGCAGAACACTCAATCTCTGGTTTGTGTTCAAACAATATTAAGAGATTGTTGCTGCACTGAAATTTGGAGGGTTTTCAGTAAGATCATTCTGCTGTATTCATTTATTTATTTATTTCATGTCCTGACTGGCAGAAACTGGAATTACAGAGTTCCTTTGGCTACTGCTGCTCACCTTGGGGAATGGGGTGGGGCGAGTGGCCACGTTCTGTCTCTGCCTTTCCTGTTGCTCAGAGGAGGAGGCAGCTGTGCTGAGCCACAGCCTCCTTTGCAGCTTGTATAGGAAGCCAGAAGGCTTAGATCAGGTCTCAGGAGCAGAACCAAGGGGTTTCTTTGTGGAGGGTGGCAGCTCAATGCAGTGCAAGGGGATATGCATAGGGACAGGGTTCCTGTTCCAGAGCAGGAGCAAAAGGAACCATGAAAAAATATCAAATTCTTTCAGGTATTGTACAGGGTTATTAGATACTATTCAGCAAAGCAATATTTAAATACTTCAAGTGTGGATGAATCTGAGTAGGTCCAAACCAGCACAATTGTTTTCATGTATGCATTTTAGCTTGCTGAGGTGATTATCCACCACAATGACATTTGAGTAGCTCCTGTTAAAATCAGTGAGAGTTATCTAGAAGATTGTTTTCTGTGATTTCTCAGCATGTTTGCAGCATCCTCATTTAAAAAAAATTAAACTTTTTCAAGTGATAATAGCTAAGTTGGAAAGTTTAACTTAAAAATGTCAAAGGTCTTACTGTTTGGGGACAGCAGCTTTTGCTGCATAGAACTGCATTTGTCCAGATGGAAAGTTCATACGGTTGGCTGGGTTGACACATTTAGCCCTTCTGTACCTCAAGTTCTGTTTTCATTTGGGGTGGGAGCTGGGAACATAGAGAAGATGCAGCATATACAGGAAGAAGGTGAACTTTCTAAATTAAAAGCTTTGGCTTTCTTTACTAGATTAAAACATTATGTTGATGGAAACAACTCACATTAGTCACTGGGAAATTAAAGAAGATATTTGAAGTATGTTGGATCAGTTCTGTGAAAATCAGTTTAGAAGTCATCAGTGGATCAAGTCTCCTCGGGGTTATTGCAGGAACACTGGATAAAATCCAGTTTAAAATGAAGTCAGATTATACTTGCAGTAATATCCAAACTGTGGGGTTAGCTTTTCTGGCCTGAAACAGCTGCAGATAGAATTGATGCTGTTTCTACTGCATGAAGATGGAGATTTGTGTGCAGTGCTCCTTGTCAGGAATTCTTGCTTTTATGAAGCAAGATGACCCAGATGCCAGTTTTGTTGTGCTTTCCCAGTCTGAATGGTTTGAGCATAAGTCTGCTTTAATCACAGTGATATCTTGTTGGATATGATGCTAATCAGTGTTAGGGAGCAGGAGACTCCATCAGCCTGGGTACTGCTTTGGCTCTTGTCACAGTACTTTGTGAGCATCACAGAAATTATGGGATTACTTCTGGAAAAAAAGAAAGTTTTATCCCGATTTTGTGGTTTGTAATTTATAGAACATGTCTGGTTACTATTTTGTCCAATGCAATAAAACAAGTCTTAGCTATGGTGGGATCTAATATGAAGCATTCTGCCTAAAATGCTGTTTATTCTATTCATCATTTCTGAAGCCATGAAAGGAGAAACTAAATGTCATGATTAATTTAATTCTTACAACCATAAATGAGTTTTCACTTGAAAAACTGATGAGAAAACTTCTATCTTAGCAATGCTGTAAGCATTTTGGGAATTTCTCTGAAACCAGTATGACAGCTTTTGGAAATACAGAAGAAAAATACAGTTAATTGCTCATCTTTGCTGTTAGCTAGTTGATCTAAACTAAGCATATTGAATAATACATAACCAGCAGACATCCTTCTTCCCATCCCTAGTCCTGCCGTGTTGTGCCAAGCCACACGTCAGTACCGTCAGCGCTCCATCCACAATCACCACTCTCATCGAAGGGATTGTCTTGCAGTAGAAATAAAATATTAGATCAAGACTTGCTGTCTGACTCCAGTTGCCTTCCAACATGCTTAGCTCAGTTGAAATACATTTAATTCACATCTCATTTCCATAAGCCATCCTTATTGCCTTTTGAGGGACTCACAGCCAACGTTGAAGAGATTCTCAGGGAGTTTTCTGTGGCTCTATTTGCTGCCTGTTGCAAAGTGGAATCATGGCCTTGTGCTCACAGAGGTTTTTGCAAATGGAAATGGACATGAGGCATCAGTAAAAGAATTTTACCAAACACATATAGACTGGACACACAAAATAGTTAGAAAATACTTAGAAGATAAAGCAGTTTAAATAGCTACATGTATTGTAAAATGCAATTTAATGTCTACACATTTGCATTTTTTTTCTGAAGTTTATATGGATTTGCCTGTCTGTAGGTTCTTCCATCTACATTTCTGTCATATCTTTTAAAACCAACATGATTGATCTTAGTTGCTGTGAACTAGCTTATTGCTATAAAGTGTGTTTTTGGAAATGGAGAGACAGCCAAGGTAAGTGTCTTCTGTGCTGTAGAGGTATTGAGAGAAGGAATTGGAATCGAAACTGAAACTCTCTGTTAAGAGGACTGATCTGGTGTAGGAAATAACAGCTAGAGCACCAGGGCTGTGTATTGCTAGTTTTCCATCCTATGTAACAAGCTGTGCTACTTTACATAATTTACTTAGTGGCATAACTTAAAGCTTGGAAGGTATTCCAGTCAGGAAAAAAGGAACAGAAACAGTTTTCTTGATGCATCTGTGCACCCCAAGGCAGTGCAAATATCTGGTCAGACCCTCATGTGCACTGGAGATCTTCTAATGTTTAACATCATGCTCTGCACTATGTCTGTAGCTGATATCTGTCTACAGTAATTCCCAGTTGTAGCTAATACATCTTCCTATTTAATATAGTTCATAGGAAAATACCTCCATATGTTTTGAATTCTTTTCCATCTTCACTGGAGTTCTCAAGAGCATGCTGTTAATTTAATATATGATTTTGTTCCACATTTGTGTCTTGTGTAAGCTGGTCCATATACAGGCAATAAACTTGGAATAGCTGAAGTGTTAGTGTATGTAAGGTTTATTTAGTAAAATGTTTGATAGGGTCAGTGTCCTTGGCTGTATTGTAACAGAAGCTCAGTGGGCTATTAGAGAACCACAAAATTCAAAATATTTATTTCATCAGTAATCTCTTTCTCAGAATCTATCTGAATAGGTCATTTGCTTGGCAGCATCTCTTCTTCCATAATTATTAATTCCAGAAGAATAGCAGTTAATGCAACTTGAGATCTCCTGTGTTTTCCTCTGACTCTCGGTTTTCTTTTAAAGGCACAGGGGCTGCACTAGGTACAATGAGGCTGTTCCCTTGCAGGGACAAGGCAGTGCCAGTTCATGTTTGTGCTCCTGTTTCCCTGCCAAGCATCTTGGAGTTTAGGAAAATGCCAAATAAAAGACAGTATTGAGTGAGGATGCATATTTAATTGCTTTTACAAGTCTGGGTATTGAATCACAGTGCAAAACCCTCTTGTGTTTCTTGTTAAAAGATGAAGTGGATTTTTCCCCCCAAATCCATGATTATGCACTATGGATTGGGCATCATATTGAGCAGTCTGCTTACAGGACTTAACCAGCTTATTTTCACCAGAGGAGCAGGCACTGTTTCAGAAAGGGGGAGGGTGAGCTGCTGAAAGCTTGTGTGTGCATATATAGTTTTATAGTGTTTGAGCCAGTACAGAATGGTTTCAATGGAAAATGGATAATCGTTAACATCAGCTTTTTGTACAGCTGCTTTTTGGCTAAAAGAGAGGTAATTTATATTTAAAGTCTGTGAGTGTGATCCATTATTTTTTCACAACAGTGTTTTGCTGAAGTTTCCCCTCTTTGCCCCTCAGATTCTTTAGTTAATAAGGCTACCTCTGCTGTTCCAGCACAGTTCCTTCCTCCAAAAGGTCTGTACCAGGTGAACCCTAAATCACAAACTGTGCTTACCCTCTGTTTTTGGATAATATTTGTGAATAGCTTACATATTTGGCTGCAGTCTTACTGCCAGACTTGAAAGGATTTCTGCATTACTGTGTTGCACTGAGTCCAACTTGAGATAGGGGCAGGGAGAAGAGCTTTAGCAAATTTTAAGGGAGCTGTAGTGATGTCTGTCCCTCTTCCTGTGCTATGTTAGCAAGCATTAATTGATACAGACATTTAAAAATCACTCACACAATTAAACATTCATTCCCTCTCCCCCCTAATTGCTCTTGGAAGAATGAATGTAACTAGGCTGGACATGGTTTATTAATTTAGCTTTCTTGAGGGTTTGGAAACTTTTATGCTATGTCCCAGTCTCCAGTAAAATTCTGTATTGTTCTGTGTGGAGTGGCCTGGCTGCACGGACACAAAGCTGTAGGCTAATCTGCCTCACACCATCATTGTATGGTGATTATAAACATAACACCTTAAAGTTAATTTTCGGAAAAGCGAGAAACTTTATTGTTTCAGTTCTTTGGAATGGTTCTGATACTTTCAGGCAGAGGTAATGGTTGGTTACTGTGGTATGGAAAGGAAAAATTGAAGCATTAGACAGATGAGCTCTGTACTGCTCACTTTTCATGACAACAAGTATGCCACCATTCAAGAGAAGGGGTTTCTAGTTTTTAAGGCTCTGCTTAACTACCATGTGATCATCGTGATATTTTCATTATTAGAGATTCATGGTTTGAATCCAGCATCCTATTAAGACATTTATAGTGGCATGGTTCAAGGGGCAAATCTTAAGTTGGTAGAAGCAAAGGTGTTTCATGGTACATGAGATAATTTGAAGCAGTTGCAACATATGTCATTACAGAAACATTTAAATCAACAGCCTGAAACCCGGATATATGGCTTTGATATTATCTAGGCATTTGAGGCAGCAGTTACTCTGTGGTTTGGTTATGGTGTAATATGTAAGATAACAGGTGGTAGAATTTTTAGAAAGATTTTTAAGTGTTACATTACTTTTACTGTGTTGGACTCACAGCTGCACATGTAGATACTTCCCATGTATAACTTAGGGGACAGAAAATGATATACCTTTACTATGCTTTCTGTAGTTCAGAATGAGAAGCAGAATTTGCAAGACTGTGAAATTTCACAGTTTACTGCTTTCCAGAGACAAAAACTAACCTATTGGAAAGATTTTAACAATGAAGACTTCATGTTCCTTGGTGCAATTCTCTGGGACAGAGTCCAGACAGGTGCAAGAAAATCTTCCTTATTTCTCATTTTGAACTCTGAACATCTGTGTATCTAGGACTGCACTTGAGCATTGACATTTCTTTGGGGAAAAACTGCAGAGAGAGGTTTATTCATGCAGGAACTGCTTGTATGAATGGTAAGTTTCCTTGATGGGGAACAACAGGATCTGAACAGTTACTACATGACAGCAAATACATTTTGAATCAAAGTGACTGCTGTGTCTATTATAACTAGGCACTGTGGAAGGAGGAATAATTCAATAAATAAACATAAGAAGGTTTATGTGCTCTGCAAGATCTGAGGTTAGGAAATGTAGAAGAGTTGTGCTTGTTCAGTTTTCCCAGTGCCAGTGTCCAGTGGTGGAGATTCTGCAGTCTTTAGTGAAGTGTAATATAGATTTCCGTGCTACAGCTTTAGCCCATTGCCTCCTGTCTGGTTCACAGACATAGGAAGGCTTCTATTCCCTTTTGTGTTTTATCTCTACCTAGAGACTGTCATCCCTTTGGCTTTTTCAAAATACCACTATTATTTGAATCTTCCCTCTTTAGCTGTATTTACTAAAGCACTGGTTGCTCACTTTCTACTCTGGATTGTCTTCACATGGCCCATCAGAAGTGGAGAGTGCTGCACTGAATGTTGGTCTCTGCTGTGATTTGCACATTGCCTTCTGGTTTATACTGACCTGGACAGTGTTTGCTTTTCTTCTCTTAACTTCACACCTTCAGTGCCTCACATTTAATGACACCCACTGTCACTGCTCCAGCTTCCTTGGATAATTACTGCTTCTCTATTAGTTTTTTAGTCATTGTTTGTGCAGGTGGTTGTTCTGTCACAAATGAAGGATATCGTACCAATCCCTATTATGTTTCATCCTGCCTTTTCAGACTCTTCCCCAAGCTGTCAGCATATTTTTTTGAGCTAATCCTTCCCGCCAGTATTGATGCCTTTCCCAACTTGGTGTTACTTGTGAATCTCTCTTGCTTCACATTATCTATCTCATGCATGAATAAATAAGCTGAAGCTGTATTTGGGAAATAATACTTTGCCCATTCTTACTCAGTAGGTATCAAAACCCAGCCAGTGAGTTACAGAGTAGTAATTAGTGAGTGGTTTCCAAAACAACTTTACACATCCCGTATAGTAATTTCCAGATGTCATTTTTCACTGAAGGAGTGTCAGATACCTTTGAAAAGCCAAGCAAAATCACAGCCACTGCTTCTCCTGCATGCAGAGTCTGTTTGTAGAAGGAAATTAAAGGGGTTTGACAAGATTTTTATCTTGACACATCCATACTGGTTTCTACTGCTGTTCTGGGAGGAGTGGGGTGTAGGATGATGCCACAGGTGAGTACAGGAGAAACAGATCCTACTTTCATGGGGCAGAACTCTCAAAGTGAAAATAGTCTTTAACCAGACACCCGTTTTCCCCTTGGTTGAGAGAGATATGGGAGCTGGGACAACTTAAGCTTTGTTGTTCTGAAATCCAGTTGCTAAGAGCATGGAGGCTCGAAGTGCTACGGTCAGGACTGGTGGAGGCCAGCTGTGCCAGCAGCAGGGAGCAGTGGCTGCCTCCCAGGGCCATCCAGTTAGATTTTCCCTGAGAAAAGATTGGTTCCTTTCAGTTTTCTGCAGGAATCTTAACATCTAACAATCAAGGCATACGAAGTTTGAAAACCTGGAAGAAAAATTAGAAGCAAAGTTGCTAAGAAATCTGGAGTCTCATCCATGATCATTATAGCTTCTTGTGTAAGAGCAGTCCTAAAAATGAAATGTAATGTGAAACACTGAATGTTTAGGGTTTTATCTGCTACCAGAAGGGAAGCAGCTTTCAAGTTAACTGACTGAGCTCCAGGTCACTGGCATCCTACTGAAAACATTGTTCTAATGAACATTCACGTTTTAAACTGATGTTTATGAGAGTGAAGTAAATAAATATCATCGAGTATGTAAATAAAAGCACAGAATGTTTTAAGTAATCCTTAGGAATTTATTTGCCTATTAAAGGACTGTGGCAAGAGGCCATGGAAATACAGTTAGGACATTTTAGACCAAAAATAGCTGTATTAATATTTAAATGAATACAAGTCTTTTTTATTATTTCAGGAACACTCCTCACCCCACAACATTATTTTTTTGAATCTTAAGGCAATCTGTAAGTGTATAAGGCTCAGAACATACTGATAAGTATTTCCTAAGGGACAGTAACAGTGACTCTGGGGATGAATTTTACCTGCTGCTTGTTTCTCATTTCATTTTTTTCTGCTGTGGCTCCTCAGGTGGTAATTTCTTGGTGTTGTTTTCAGAGCAGAGAATCTTCAGTTACAAACCTTTCAGAATAGGAGTTTAGTCTTTTTTCTTGCTTTTCACCCTGATCCATGTGTATCTTGTGTATAACAAGTATAAAACTTAGTTTAGTTTATACAAGCACAGATAGTAGATTTTAAGTCTGTTCATCAAAGTGTCTGTGTTCATGTCAGCATAGAAGGGTGTAAATGATGAGGTTATCAATCAGAGGGATACAAAATGAGTCCAGGAACTGGATTTTTGGGGCTGGAGTGGGGAAGCATTTCTAAGTGACTGCTTCTTCTGGAGACAGCAAGAAAAAAGAGGCAGGGAATGACAAGGATTTTTATGAGTTGATCCAAAATTATTTCTCTGGGAAGTTTTGGCAAATTTAGTCTGTTTAAAGAAACAAACAAAAAAAAAAACCCAAAAAACCCCACCCAGATTGAGAAAACTGAAAAGATTATTATTATTGTCTCTGAATTGTGTAAGTAAAGTAAAATGAAGGTTGATTTCTATATGCAGTGATTATAAAAACATTGTGTCATCATTTCTTGTAAATAATGATGTAACAATTTTCATTTTTAAAGATAAAATGTTAGGTTTCTTCCCCCAAGCTAAATAACTCAGAAAAGTGTAACTTCAGAAAGACTTTAGACTTTAATACAAACTGTACAGCTCAGAGCAAGTTTTGTTTAAGAAAGAAAATAAAGACTTTTTGCCAGTCATATAACAAAGTGAGAGCTGGCTCATTTTGTCTGGGAGCTGATATCGAGACACAGCAGCAAGGGGTTCCCTCCTTCCCCTACTGTCACTTTTGGCTGTTTGGTCCATTTTTATCTTCATATTAAGGAAAGCTTAGGGTGCATTTCAGTGAGGAGTGCTTGGAGAAGAGCATACTATCAGTTTACACAAGGCAAGGCTTTCTGTGGAGCCTTGTTTGGAGTTTCATTAAATACTAGAGATTTGGTTATTATGGTCTTTTCATGATAGGCATTACTTTGGGAGTTTTTAGTGTTCACATGCAGAGTTCATGTTTTAATAGAAGAGACAATTCTAGGACATTTAACTTTAAATATGCTTCCTTAAGAGGTGACTGAAAGCTTTTGTCTGGAATGCTGCTGGGGGAATCACAAGCCTAAACTTGAATCTCCTTTCTTCCCATCTACCTTTGGCATTTATTATTCTGAAGCATGACATGAAGTCCTCCAGCAGTAGAACCAATTTGAATAAAACTGACCAAACTTGCTGTGGAAAGTCTGAAGGCAGGATTTGAAGGTGTATTTACTAAAGTTTCCAAAATACTGATTTATATAATTTAACATTTTTTGATGTTCCGAGTTTTTGGGGCTACTGGAGTGCTGAAGGAGATAGAATCATATCTCAAATTGCAGATCAGGATGCAAGCTGAGATTCCAGAGGCCAGTAAGATTCTAATACAGACAAACAGAAATATTCAGTTCTTTCCAACTGTAAAGACAGACAGAAAGCAGTATCAAACTCCTTCCAGAACATCTCAAGCTAAGAGCAATTGGAAATGATAGCTCTCAGTGTCCCTCAGGAAGTGGTCAGCACTTCAGGGGATGGAGCACATTTTGGTATTTTTCCAGATGAGAATTTGCACTGCATGTAGCAGGTTTGCTTCCCTGATTAGTGCCAGCATAAATAAATATATAGATCTGGCCAGAAAATTAGATTATTTAGGCCAGATTGTTTTGCATTATTTTTCCTCTGTAGTTTTGTCTATAATAATAATTTTCCTAAATATTTTAATTTTATTTTTGATAAATTCTGTGTAATATCACTGCAAGAAAAGGCATCTTTCATTAAATCCTAATAGTTTATCTTATGATATCATCATCTTATGAGGGTTTTATTGATACAGTTTTAGCTATTCCTGGATATAAACAGAAAAAAAAGTTTTGAGCTCAAGCAATTGCTATTTGGTTTTCTTCTGCTTACCTAGCCACCTTCTTCATAATTCTGATCTAAAGACTGTGGGCTGCTGTGAGAACCCTCACCAGAAGTGCAGTCCACATGGAGCTGCCCTGCCCTGCCTGTGCTGAGGGCAGCTCTCTGTGGCTGCTGTGCACTCTGGAAAGTGTAAGTGATGGCTTTTAAACCAGATAAATGCCTTTTAGAAGAGCTTTCCACTGATGGAGAACTTGAACCTGTTTGCATAGGCCAGTGGAGACATCCAGTGGCCACTGGCTGACAAATGGTTGTCTCTGGAGTGTGACTGCAGACACATGAAAGGCTGACTTGAATAAAGGCATTTCTAGCAGTTGGGGTTTTTTTTCCCCTTTAAATTCAGAAAGGAGTTCCAGATGTAAAATAGTAAAAACTGAAGTCTGTGGAAGAAACTACATTACCTGGTTATGCCATTTAAAGGGCTGCTGGCCTTGAGCCTCTGTTAAACATACAACTTGTGGCAGCTGTACTGAAGCCACCGGTATTTACTGGTCAGGTGCCCATGTCAGCCACTCCACTGAGTGCTCTGCTGCACTGAAATTTCTTAGAAGCACATCAAACTTAAATCTTTTGCTGATTTTCAGATATTCAACTGATCAGGAGAGACTCATATGCATGTGGTTTAATTACTTGTTTCTGATGGATTTATTTTAATTTCATTAAGTAATAATCAACTTTCCAGTTATTTTTAATGCATGATGGCAAATCTAGAAGATATTATTAATGTATTTTTAGTGACAGAGATTTGGGAGGAATGGAGATACCAGGAAAATGCAAGTAAATGACAACATTTGCAAATTTCTTACTGCCTTAAACACTAATTATGAGGACAAGTTTATGGAACACTGGGGCCTTTCAGAAATATTCTGTTCACTGAAGAGTAGAAAAAACTGTGGTATATTCAGGTAAAGGTGAGGAATTTGTTGGGATGGTTTTTTCCTTTTGGGCCACATACTTGTTAAAATGTATAAGCAGGTTCATTATAAAAGTTAGATTATTTTTTTTTTCACTTAATATCAAAGCCCCAGTGTAGACAATATTTCAAATATATATTATATTGTTGAGACAAGGTGAAGTAATAGACATCTTTATTATATGAGAAAATCAAAAGTGGAAGTAGGAAAAAAAAAGGGCAATGTTCCTCCATCACTGGAATGAAGAATGGAAAATGTTTTTAGAAAAAATATCTGAACCAGAGTAATAAAAGTTTATAAGAAGTTAACAAAACTGAAAGGGACAAAGAAAAAAAATAAACACGACCCTTTCTGGTTATTGTCAAGAGATGTTCCCAAGCCTAATAAGGACAAAGTATCAAAAGAGACTCAAATAAAACAGACCACATCACATTACTATTTCTTTTGGAGAGCCCAAATGTAGTTACATGATAGTCATTTCCTGGAAAATGTTTGCATATTGTTATTTAGAAATCTGGCATATGATAACTGCTGTAAAAAGCATTATTCCTCTGGCCACCTCAAAAACTTGTAACTGTCCATCAGTGGAAAACCAACCTCATTTGGGATCAGTTTTCTCTCATGGACCACATTGTCTCCTCAACAGTAAAGCCTAAGCTCATGCTCCAGTTCTGATAACTAAGCCCACATAGTCTATTAGCCTGAACAGGGAAACCTTAAATAAAGTAGCTCTGCTTTCTTGAAGGCTGTTTTGGAGGATGTGGCATGTTATGATTCATGTGCACTTTCCTTCTTTGTCTAGGAAGCTGTGTAACCTGGCTTGCCTGTGTTTAGTGGTACCCCAGCACTTGCCCCAAGCTCCACGGGGGATCACTGCTGGATCAGTGTGGAATTGTCACATTTAGGTGTTTCTGGCCTGCTTTAGACTCTGAGTCTGCAATGGGGCTGCCAGCTTACAGCCACAGCAGTGTGTGAAAGGAGCAGCTGCTGCTGTAGCATTCTGGACCTTTGTTTCCCTGTATGTGCATGAGTCTTGAAGCACTTTCTGTATGAAAAGGAAATCTTTAAGGGGCCTTAAAGATCATGTTGTTCCAGCCCCACTGCTGTGGGCAGGGTCACCTTCCACTAGACCAGGCTGCTCAGAGCCCCATCCAGTCTGACCTTTAACACTTCCAGGGATTGGGCATCCACATCTCCTCTGGATAACTTGTGCCAGGGCCTCACCACCCTCACAGGGAATAATGTCAGTCACCTGCAAGTCTATTGCTGGAATCCCACCCAGTCTCAGCACTGATAAGCTTTAGCTGAAGGAGATGTTACATGGATTGACATAAGCACATCTCTTAAAAGTTTTTCCAGTGTCTGCTATGCTTCATTACACTTCCTGTAAAGCAGATTCATTGCTTTTATCGTGAGTAAATACTGAATTACAGCCCATGGCAAGCTGAGCCCTGAATATAACTGAGCTATGCAGAGACAACTTGTTCCTGGAACAATTGCTTCTGACACATCATGGATGAGTGTATCTTGGCTTGTTACGGAGAGCACTGAAGTTGACTTTACAAGGCAGTTTGCACACAGAATGAAGCCTAATTTAAATTTGCTTAATACCATAATGTAGTATTAACATGATTGTGATGCTTGCTTGCCAAGAGTGTGCATGCCACTTCTGTGTGGGCACCCTCAAGGCACGTTTCTCAAATTGCACAGCTTGTTATTAACTATTTTTAGATGTTTAGGCAAACTTACAAAAACTGACAAATGGTAAAAACATTCTGTAATGTTCTGTGGAGAACTAGAACTGCTATGTAGATAACAACAGGGAGTCTGGATCTCACATTAAATTAAAGTTTGGACTAAGGAACCATCAAGGAATTTTTGTACATACCAGTCTCTACCTCATGGCATGAGGAACGTGAAATTCCTTTGTTGTATCATTTATTCGGATTGCACCTACAGCCAGTGTTATCTGTGGCAGGAGATTTAATGTACGTGCTGTGAGAGGCAGTACGTGCTCCAAGCAGCTTGAAGCCTCTGGAGCTGAGACAGAAAGGAAGAACTTGGTACATTCTTTAAGGACAGTCAGTGTACAGTGTCATTTAGTTTACTGATAGTTCCATTCTTATTTGATTTGGGTATTATTTCTTGGAGTTTTTTTGGTCTGTGGCTATTTTTAATTTCCCTTTGAACAACTGAATACATTATTTATCAAAGGTATTGTGGTTGGAATGCTCTTTCTTCTGACATTTTTTCCTAAGAATATCATTAGATTGCAATTCCATGCACTGGCAAGCTGCCTGCCGAGCTCTGTATCTCTTCAAGCTCGCTGTGGAGCAGCTCAATCACAGCCTGGCCTCCTTATCCACCATGGCCATGTGCCTTCCCACAGCCTTTCCTTGTGCAGGGGCTCGGTGAAGATGGCACAAGATGTTGGAAGAGGAAGCTGAAGGAGAGGAAGAGCTGACATGAAGTCCAAATGCCCTCCCACACACTGGTGTGCAGGTGTGGGGTCGGGAGGCAGAAGGGCTGGGGGGAGAGCGGGACACGGGGGCTGTGCAGTGCTGAGGGGTTCTGGTCGTGTGGAAGGTGGAACGCGTGGGGCCACTCAGGGTGTCCAGCCCTGGTGTCCAGCCCTGTGTCCAGCCCTGTGTCCAGCCCTGTGTCCAGCCATGGTGTCCAACCCTGTGTCCAGCCCTGTGTCCAGCCCTGGTGTCCAACCCTGTGTCCAGCCCTGTGTCCAGCCATGGTGTCCAGCCCTGTGTCCAGCCCTGTGTCCAGCCCTGTGTCCAGCCCTGGTGTCCAGCCCTGTGTCCAGCCCTGTGTCCAGCCCTTTGTCCAGCCATGGTGTCCAGCCCTGTTTCTGACCCTGGTGTCCAGCCCTGTCCAGCCCAGGGAAGGCGGCTGGAACCAGGGGTCTCTGTGTCCCCCCGTGCCACTCCAGGGCCCCTCAGCATGGCACTAGGACAGGTCAGCACAGTGCTAACATTTGAAAATGCTCTTACTCGATGAAATGCAAACACGTCTCTTCACAAACTCCTGCAAGTGGGAATGTTTCCGAAGGGGTGACTTTTTGCCTTGTTCTACCGTGTGCGGTTTCTAAATTTGGGCAGGGTGTTTAGTGAGGACTTTTAATTTCTTACGCTTTGATTTAACGAAAGGGCGTGGGATGAGGGTGAAGCGGGGCTGTTTGGCCGGGCGTGCCAGGCGGCGGCTGAGGCAGGGCACGGCCGCCATCGCTGCCGGCACTGCCCGGCCCTGGCTGGCTCCGTTACGGCCATCGGCTCCCTC